CCTAGGAAGCTGGCAGTGGGCCTCCACTGGTCTTCCTGGGGCCGCAGCACTTTGGCGCGGGCCCCAGGCAGCCTGTGACAGGCCTCCTTTGGCCTCCCTGTGGCCGCAGCGCTCCGGCGCGGGCCCCAGGAAGCCAGCTACGGGCCTCCTGTGGCTTCCCTGTGGCCGCAGCGCTCCAGCGCAGGCCCTGGGTAACCAGCGACGGACCGCAGTGTGGAGAGCTGGGGGTGGGGCTTGCTGCCACTGCCATTTATGCCAGCTCCTGGGCTCTCGGAGCAGTGCTCTGGCCCCAAAAGACCCCTGCTCTTTTCTACTATTATGGAGATGTTTTTGGTTTTTGCTTTCTGGGAGACACCTTGAATAATGAGGAGGTGTAAAGAAAATGCTTTTCTTAATTGCGAGTGTTTGTCTAACCCTTGGTTCAGGCCTGGTATTGGGCCTGTAGTAAAAACTTCCAGAGTGACAAACGAGTTAATCTTCTCCCCAGAAACAGAGATAACACTGAGAGCACTTAGTAACCTCAGAGAAATTGCTCCCAGCTGTGACTGATAAGGAGACTGGGATGCTATTAGGCATATTCCAGCCAGTTAACCCTGCAACACCTGCATGGAGGCTGGTCAGGAGTTATGCTGCAGATAGCTTTCGATTCCCTCCTCCCTGCCGTAATATTACGGGCTGTTATGGAGTATCCTGGGATGTCGTTTGCATGGTAACCTAAAAAGGTTGATATCACCTTACTGACCCACCATTGGGTAAAGGCCTAACCCAAGGAGGGGCCAGTTTCCTATGAGAATCTGTTCCACTACAGCTATGGTTCTGGTTGTTGTGGTGCTAGAGACAACCGTTTGTCAATAGTACCAGTGGCAACCTGCATTGGGGCTGTGACTACTGAGCCTAGTATGGTCCAGTAGTTCAGTACCCCAAACTATGGCGTTCCAGTTTGCTTATGCCTGGATGGCTAAGAAACGACTACTACGTATGCTGACCAACTGCAACTTTGTCTTTGGGGAAAGGTAATGCTGAATTAGTGCCTTATGTTACAGTTAGGCTGGATAAACTAAGAGTTTATTTTTTACCTACACTGTCTTGTCCTGTGTTTTCTGCACCTAAATAAACTAGAAAATATTTTATTTTGATACATTTGTATGTTCTTTGTGTTACCAAGTCTCAAAGCCTAAATCCTGTTTGCCTAGACTTTTTTGGACCACTCCCTACCAGAAAGCTTTTTGTCTCCTTTTTATTTTTGAGCTGCAGCTTTAGTCTGCAGGTTTGTGTTGCTGTGTAAGTTCCAGAACCAGACAGGAGCTTTTGGTCCCCTTCCTCCTGGGCTGTTGGGAACTGCTCAATAAGGGGCCTGGTGGCAGTTCTACCTGAAGTCTTTTGTTTAGGATTTTGTTCTTTTGGAAACAGGAAAGAGACCTTTCCCCCTCTTTCTCCTGTTGGGTGATTTTTGTTTGCCCGGTTAGGGTAAAGCCCTGTGCATTGGTAAACCTTTACAGGAGGGGATATACGTTTTTAAACAAATAATAAAAGACTGAGGGGAAATGTCATCCTTGGGATATGTTTAGGGCAAGGACTAAGAACCGGTTTGCAGCTGTTCTGTGTATGTGCTCGTTTTCACACGGTGGGGATGTTTGTGGGCAGATCGGCAGTGCTGTTGCTGTTAGACCTGTCGGCAGCGTTTGACACAGTTGACCATCAGCTACTGATCCACCGCCTCGCCGGGGAGGGGGTTGTTTAGGGGCTTGCCTTGCAATGGCTCGCATCCTTCCTTCAAGGTCAGGGACAAAGTGTGGCACTAGGGGAACAGCTGTCCTGTAGGCACCCACTGATGCATGGAATGCCTCGGCCAGGGGTCATTTCGTAGAAAAAGAGCTAGGGGGATTCATTAGCATACCTCATTAGCATATGCCACACCCCCTGACATCACCGGAAGTGTGTCCTCCCCACAGCCGGCGGCGACCTCCAGCGGGCACGGATGACACCCAGTTTTATCTGTTGTTGGGTGGCCAGTCTGACTCTAACCTGGAAGATCTGGACTGGGCGTTACAAGCTGTGGCTGGTTGGCTTAGACTGAGTCGACTGAAACTGAATCCGGCAAATACAGTCCTGTGCTTGAGTCAGGGTGGCCCGAGGGTAGGGATCCCACTCCCAACATTGGATGGGCTGCAGCTGGTGCCAGCGTCAGAGGTTAGGAGTTTGGGAGTGCTCTTGGATGCCTCTCTGCCTCTCTAACAATGGAGGCCCAGGTAGCAGCCCCTGCCAAGTCGGCCTTTTATCACCTTTGGCGGATTAGGCAGTTGGTTCCCTTCCTCGAACACAACGACTTGGCAACAGTGATCCATGCGATGGTAACCTCGAGGTTAGACTACTGTAATGCTCTTTACGCGGGGCTGCCCTTGTCTCAAACCCGGAAGTTGCAGCTAGTGCAAAATGCTGTGGCCAGGCTGTTGATGGGTCTTTCCATACGGGAACACATCCAGCCTGTGCTGAAAGCACTGCACTGGCTGCCAATAGCGTACCGGATTTGCTTCCAAGGTGCTGGCTTTGACCTTTAAAGCCCTCTGTGGTCAGGGTCCAGCATACCTAAGGGACCGCCTTTCCCCATATGTTCCCCAGAGAACACTGCGTTCAGGGGCCCAAAACCAGCTGGCCCTCCCAGGTCCCAAAGATGCCAGGTTGGTGACAACCACGGCTGAGGCCTTCTCAGTAGTGGCTCCGCACTGTTGGAATGAGTTCCTGGAAGAGATCGGGACCCTGCAGGACGTTTTACAGTTCCGCAGGTGCGGGACCTTTTACAGTTCTGCAGGGCCTGCAAGACAGAGCTCTTCCACCAGGCTTTCAATTAGGAGCTGCGTGTGACATCCAAGAGGAGACCCTGGGCCCTGGCCTTACCATCTCCAGCCCACCTCACTATGTAAATAAGTAGATCGACGGAGCGTATGGGGACATCTTTATGACTGTCACCCGTGGAGTATGGTTCAATCTGAAATTTCTGCTCGTGCACTTTATTTGAAAACTGTACCAGCATTTTAGGTTAGTGGATTTATGGATTTTAGGATAACTGACCTGTTTCTGGTTTGTTTGGTTATGATGAATTTTATGATAGATTTTAATTGTACTTTTATGCATTTGTGTAAGCCGCCCTGAGCCTGCCTCGGTAGGGAGGGCGGGGTATAAATCGAATCAAATAAATAAATAAATAAATAAAATGCTTTTCTACATGTAACTTAAAAAAATGGTTGAAATATCCATTCTCTTTTCCTTTCTTAACAAGCTTACCTGTTTGGGATAATAAGGTATGGGGGTGTAAAGGTAAAGGTTCCCTTGCTCGAAAGCCAGTCGAATCCGACTCTAGGGTTGCAGTGCTCATCTCCGTTTCAAAGCCGAAGAGCCAGCGCTGTCCGAAGACGTTTCCGTGGTCATGTGGCCGGCATGACTAAACACTGAGGCACACGGAACGCTGTTACCTTCCCACTGAAGTGGTACCTATTTATCTACTTGCAATTTTTTGCTTTCGAACTGCTAGGTTGGCAGGAGCTGGAACTAGAGACGGGAGCTCACTCCGTCATGCGGCAACTCGAGTCTCGAACTGCTGAACTACCGACCTTCCACAGCCTGCAGTTCAGCATCTTAACCACTTGAGCCACCGCAGCTCCTATGGGGGTGTAGGCGGGGTATATTCGTATAAGTTTCTATTGTGTGTTCTTAGAAACCTTTTCTCGAGTTGCTTGGGAAAGGCGTTCTGCTTTTAGCGTGAGACAGAATTTCTTAAATAGGACAAGGGATGAAAGGAGAGTCGGTGGATCTTGGCAAGGGCTAAAAATACCCCAAGTATCAAGTAAGTTTATTGCATATGGCCATTGGCCTTCACAAATTAAAACATATTTACAGCCAAAAGATTTTAAATTACTAAAATAACATCCACTTTAAAATGTCTCAATTCTCAATCAAACTCAAGAATCACAATTCAGTTCTATTGGATACTTTCTTGGAAACCACATTTGCAGTATATTTGTGGTGATAATAACCATCCCAGTGCAGCAGGAAGTTGGGAAAGGACTTTTGGAGCTTCCAAGGGAAGGGAGAATTATGATTCCCTCCTTTTCCCCAACAGCTGGAGATGCCCTCACATTGCCAGCCACTTTTTATTTATTGATGTTATCCCACTGCCATGGTGCATGGCCAGGGTAGAGGAAGACAGGTTCCTGCCCTGAGGAGA